AATCGGTTCACCATCTGAACTGACCAACGCAGCATCCGAGAGTTGATGGCGCAAGTAGTTCAGACACCGGAGCAGCAACGATTCTTGGTCAAATCATTGGGCTTTGATTACACTATAGAGTATTACCCAGGGGCAGTTAACAAAGTGGCAGATGCTCTGTCACGGGTTCATGAAGGAGAGAAGGAAGATCCACAGATGGTATCTGTTGTTATGTCTTTTACTAGCCTGATCAATCCTTTACTTGGCCTGATAAGAGATGAAGTGAAGAGTAAATCAGAGTTAAAAAAATTAACAGTAAGAATTCAGGAAAAGCAGGAAGGGACTGAACATTACTTGTTGCGCGAAGGTTTAATATACTTCAAGGGGCGACTAGTGCTAGCTTGTGACTCTGACATACGAACCACGGTTCTCCATGATTTTCATTCTACGGTTATCGGTGGACATGGAGGTGTACGGAAAACGCTGCACAGGATTTCCACTCATTTCCATTGGACCAACATGAAAGTGGATGTGCAAGAGTTTGTTCGCACTTGCCCAGTATGCCAAGTAACCAAATATCAGCCACTGTCCCCAGCTGGATTGTTACAACCTTTGCCCACCCCGCAAGCCATTTGGGAGGAGTTGTCTATGGACTTTATCGTCGGCCTTCCTAACTCCGATGGGAAAACAGCTATTATGGTAGTGGTTGACCACCTATCAAAGTTTGCTCATTTCTCAGCTCTGGTAGGAAATTTTACCGCTACTAAGGTGGCATCGGTCTTCATTTCTGACATATGCAGGCACCATGGCCTTCCAAAAACTATTGTCTCTGACCGTGATAGAATTTTCCTTAGCAAATTCAGGACGGAGCTTTCACGACTCAGTGGCACGCGTCTCCATTTCAGTACCGCGAACTATCCAGAGAGCGTTGGTCAAACGGAGGTTACCAACAGGGGGTTGGAGCAGTATCTCCGTTGCTACACCATGGAAAATCCCAAGATTTGGGGACAGTTCTTACCGTGGGCGGAATTCTCTTATAATTCCTCCTTCCATTCTTCTATTGGCTCGACTCCGTTTCAAATAGTGTATGGTCGTATTGCCCCAACTATACCACCATATGAGCATTCCACATCAGCTGTTGAAGCTGTTGATACTCTGTTATCACAGAGGGATTCTATCGTTCGGCAACTACGCGAGCATCTGCATCGTGTCAAACAGAGGATGAAGAATCAGGCCGACAAACATCGTCGAGATGTTCAGTTTAAGGTAGGAGACCATGTACTGGTAAAACTTCAACCCTACCGACAGATGTCCGTACGTAATCAAAGCTACTCCAAGCTTCGCTGCCGCTATTATGGGTCGTTCTTGGTCGTTGACTGCATCGGTCCGGTGGCCTACCGCTTGGAACTGCCCTCTCACTCGCGGATCCTTCCGGTCTTTCACGTCTCTCTACTGAAGCCGTTCCACCAGAGCCCTTTTTTTCACCGTCAGCCCTTGCCGCCGGCAGAGCTCGACAACCATCCAGTGGTTCAACCCGTCGCCGTGGTGCGCACCCGATCCCTTTCCAGAGGGAAAGCTTCTGACTTGCAGGTGTTGGTTCAATGGTCATAGATGCCCTTAGAAGACGCCTCGTGGATGTCGGTTTCTGACTTTGTTCAAGCCTTTCCCCACTTCGATCTTGAGGGCAAGATCGATTCTTTGAGGAGGGAGGAAACTGATACGAACATCAGTCATGCAGTAACAGAGACCAACCATGATCTACAGGGAGAAAGAGAAGTGGATAGACGAAGGGGAAAGAGAAGGAGAGACCAACCAAGTTGGATGAAAGATTATCTGTAGGGTGAGTTGCAACAGTTGTAACCGATAGATATTACCTTAATGGGTTGGTTTGGCATGTTGGGCCACACGGTAGGATTAGGCCCAAATTCAATAAAGAGTCCTGGAGGGAGTATTGGGCCTCACAGTGGGAATAGCCCATCTTTACATTTCTGGTATTGTCTTTATATTTTGTGTGAGAGGATCAGAATAGGCATGAACGTTGAATAGCGTAATTGCCTTAATTCCCTTCTTAACCTCTTTTTCTGGAGTTGCCGGCAACCTCAAATTGCCGTATAAATTGTATTTGCTTCTTCTTATTTCAGTGTTTACTACAGAATTGATTCAGTCCCTATTATCAGAGCTGGTTTACACTTCTTCCGTATCAATAGGGATATCCTTTGGTTTTATTTGTTATGATTGCTTAAAAGTGTCATGTACTTCTATACATAAGTGTGGTTATGGTTGTTCGAAGAACTATATTTGGATAGATTAGAGTCATGAATGTTGTACTTATTCAAGGCACTGTGCTTTTATTAAAGTTATTTTTTTACTGAAATACAAATTATGACAAATGTTATTGATAATTTACTCTTATAATACTCATAATCAAAATTTTGGTTTGACATGACTTATTAAAAATATCATTTATCTCAACAAAGTTTCATCATTTTGAGATGTGCTTTATTTTTAACTTTTTAAGAATTAAAAAAAAAAAAGTAAATTACATGACACAAATTGTGGACCAATAGTGTGTCCTATTTATTGAGAACAATGTCTTTGAAAAGGTATTATTAAGGTTGTTAAAATCGCGATTTTAAATAAAATCGAAAAGAGATTAAAGAATTGTAAAACGTAAAATTATAATATAAAAAAATTATAAAAAATCATAAAAACGTAAAAGCATTTGAAATATTGGTAAAATTATTTTGATGAAAAAAAATCATAAAAACATAAAATGATACTATCGTATTAGCATGTCTCGTGTTTGGCTGCTAAAAATTTAGACTATATTTTTTTTTTCTGGGACGTGTTTTTATTTGGCGTGGTTATTTATTTATTTATAAAAAGTGTGATCGACAAGTGTATATATATGAAGCAAGCCAGGGACTTTGAATGGAGTGAAATCTTGATGTAACCCCATAAATCTATTGGACTTTCTAGGAAGACATATAGCAGGGGAGAACTATTTTCAATGGGGTTAACAGTAGTCTACCACAAATACATTATACATCTTAACTCAAAACCTTAAATCATTAAATTTATAATTACTTTCACTTATATGTTTATTGCTTAGCCCATTTTTATTCAATACGAGGCTTTATCACTCACATTTCAAATCTCAATCTCCTTCTCAACTGTAAATCCTACATTCTTTCAGCTCTCCCTAAAACAAAAGTTTCTTTGAGTATTCAATGAATTACCACCTAAGCGTGGATAAGTCTTGGTAATATTCGGTCTAGTCTTGGCTGGCATAAGCCAATCAACCTAACGCTTGAGATGTAAATACTCCAACACACCAAGGACAATACTCATCTAGCTAATTATCCCATTACCCTGACCATACTCTATAGCTTGGCACTCCGACATAACAAACTATTAGGCTGGATGGCAATTGTTCTGGAAGAATACCATAGACATATCACCTGGCCCAATACCCTTGGCCCCACATTCTTAGAATCCCACCATGAATAATCGCCTACGGTTACCCCCACAAAATCAGCTAGATATCTTCACGAAGATACTCCACAATCCCATGATCTTTGTAATGAATTATTTCCCTGATTCTGCTATAATTATAGGGTCTCCACCCTCAACTACAGATCTAATAACCCGATTTGCATACTCCACCTAATCTCATACTGACTTGCGTTGCAGTCCCAAACATATCAACCCTTCATTTCAACGGAATACACCCCAAACCACCACCATCAACCACCAGAGATCAAAGAGAAGCAACCTAAACCGTTCAAGTAACCCCACTGAACAGATATAAAATAACTAAACAAAATCTGATTATATTATTATTCAAAGGAAAATTAATATAATTTTGAGAATGAGCGTTATTGTTACCACTTAAAAGTTTTACGACGTATATTATAATTTATTAAAATTAATAATTATTTAATAAATATGACTTAATAAATCATAATCATTGGATTGATAGTAATCAATGATTAAAAATAAATTATAAGAGATTATAAATGAAAAAAGACAGTAAGAATAATGCTTCTCATTTTTAAGTTACCAAATTATAAATTAGGGTTCGCTTTTTGTCATGTTATATGACTATAGCACTTTCCTGCACACACAAATCAAGTGTGGGTCTCACGCTTAAAAAAAAAAAAGTCAGACCAAAATCAGGATACGACTCTGTATCCTTAAGATACGGAAGCATATCCTTGTTGCAGGAATGAACAGTGTCATTCCTGCAACATGATTTTTATATTTCCCTATAAATTATTGTTATATTAAGAGGTACAAAGTGTAACGTTTTACCATCAACTTTACTATTTCTAAGGTCAAATGAATAGTCTTGTAACCACATGAAAATTTCGGCTTGTCAAATTTGAGGGCTTAAGATTTTATCCTCGTTTCATGCATTGCCTTCTGGCCAATTTCCATTTCTATGAGCAGAGAAGGGGAGCAGAAGAAAAAGATATTGGGCCTTTTTGTCCTTGGCTTAAACAACCAAATATCTAAATATTGAGCTATTTGTATTCTATTTCTATTTCAAATCATAAAATAAAAGCCACTAACTCAATATATATTCAAAAATATTCTGACATATAAACACACAAGACCCAAGCATTCTCAAAGGGAAATAGGAGGGGGAGAAAATAAACAGGAGAGTTTTCTGGTATCTTTGTTAAACATTTGGCCAAGCCTCCAATGGTCCTTCACTGGGGGCACCTGTAAAGTGTCCAACACACCAAGTAGCTATTTGTAAATGCTGATTGTCTCTGATTCATGATCAGCAATCAGCATAACTGATATAAAGTTTCCATAACTGATTCATGGTCATCTTCAAACTATTAATATTCTTTTCAGGATTTCCCTTTCTCTATAATAGCTTTCACCTAGATGTTTCAGTTTAAAGATAAATTGGCTGTCCTATGCAATGCAAGACAATTCACATAAATAATTGAACCAAACTGTATGAGCAATGAAGCTACACAATCAATGTACAAAAATTCTACTGTCAGAAAATTCCCATCATATATAATACAGCATACCTAAAAAGTTTGGTGTAAAATGTTCATACTTCCTAAAAAGCCATTGCATCTTCCAAAACCATGCATGACAGAATATAAATCCCCTACTACATGTGGCCCTTGTTTTGTAGACAATAACAAAAACCGAGAACCCTCTCCTTAACATGATGCATGATGATCTACACATCCTTAAAGGATATAAGTGCCTGGACTAATGCTCTTCTGGGACTGATAAGATCTCTTGGCTTTTAATCTGTTGGACACTTGGGCATGCTTTGAATCCAACATCTCTGGTGATGGACTCTTTCCTTTGTTAAAATATATATCCTTTTGAATGAATGGTGACACATCCAGAATAAAAGTAGCTTTCCACAATCTATAGGAAGTAAGTGAGTTGCTGTTTCTTCCTTGAACCACCTTCTCCATATAAATCATTCCACTGTTTCAGCTCACTCATTACTGCTCCTTCTGCGGCAAAACTTGCAGCCACCTGCATTTAAACAGACATCTATTAGTACATGTACATGAAAAAAATATCCTACAGGAAATAGAAGACCTTCCTTCTAACATATGTTTGATGTGGTTAAAAAATCAAGAATGAAATCCTTAATTACATGTACAAGTTTCTTAAATGAATCATGTAACCAATCATCCCCTGTAGCAATTACTATACTATCTTAATCATATTAGTAAATCATAAGGTAGCAAGTAAGTTTCTTCCAACAAAGGCACAAGGTAAGCAAACTATGGAACACAACCCAGTGATGAATGGAAGGAAGGATTAATTGAAATTTATAGGGCAACTCCAAGGTTGAATCTTTGATTACTAATATCAGATATAAATGCTAAATTTGTGCTTCTAAAGATCTCATCTTCATATAATTTACCCAAGTGCCAGATATCTACCATTTTATTCCTTCAAACCACCATTTTGAATTCCTAGTTTTTAACAAAGCTAATTTTAAGTACTCTAAGTAGTATTGTACAGGTGCCCAAATCAAGTTCTCCATAGCTATTTAAGTGAATGATTTTCAGTACACCCTACCTGAGTCTTAGCCTGTTTCATGTCTTCCATGTTTAAAGGCCTCAGGATAATTTCTCGCTCTTCTTTTTCTTTATTATTCGAAGCATCTTCTGAGGTTTGGCCTTCTGCCTCGTTTTTCTTCTTTTCCTGATATAAGATGCAATTGATATTCAGTTAGTTCTTCAGCTCATACCAAAGTTCAGCACTGGATGGAGATGTTAATCTAAACATAGTAGAAATTGTTTAACAAATACCAATTCCTTTAGTCTCTCCTGCTGTATTAGCTCTCTAACAGGTCGATAAGCCGCAGTGATGCACAAATTCTGTTTACAGAAATTAATTTTAATAGATCATCGCCACAAAAAAAAAGGGATAATTAGAATCATTACCAAAGTTTACCTTAAGATCACTTCCACTAAATCCTTCTGTCATGGTTGCCAGCTCTTTGAAGTCTAAGTTTTCATGTTTTTCCTTAGAGAGGAGAGTTTTTAGAATCATTTCCCGGTTCTCAACAGATGGAAGACCAACCATGATCCTGCTCAACATTGAAAAAGAATAGAGATGTCACTCACAAATCACAAGAGCAATAAACATTTATCTGAAAAGCAAATTGTCCAATTATATTGCTAATAGATGATTCAGCCAGTGTTCATAATTAATGAGTATTGTTCATAATTAGTGAACAGAAACTGCAGCTGAAAGATTTGAGAAAAAGCTACAGAAAGATCTGTCTCCTGAAGGAGCCATGAGCTAGCTACATACAAAATAAGAGTGGACACTTCAAAGGGAAAACAAAACAGCATGAATGAAAAGTTAAATAATTTATGTCATGCTCTTTTTCTAAAAGAAATTGATGAAATGTCTGTTTATTATGAACTTTCTTCTTTTCATATAGTCACCCAGCTGTTCATCACAAATGAATGATAACGATAACATAATGCATGTGTCTTTGTAGTAATGGCAAAAATAATGTAGCTAAACAGAAGCAACAGAAGATCATGCCAACAATAAGACAAAGATTTGGTCCTACCTGCGCTCAAACCTTCTTATAATTGCTTCATCAAGGTCAAATGGCCTGTTGGTTGCAGCAAGAACAAGAATTTGCTCACCAGGTCTTGATAATAGCCCATCCCAGTGTGTCATGAATTCATTTTTAATCTTCCTCATGGCTTCATGCTCTCCTACTCTAGTCCTTTGCCCAAGCATGCTGTCAACCTCATCAACAAAGATAATAGTTGGTGCAACCTTAGCAGCTAGTGTGAATAGAGCGCGGACATTCTTTTCATCTTCTCCAAACCATTTTGAAGTGATGGTGGACATTGAGACATTAATGAAACTTGCTCCAGCTTCATTTGCTATTGCCTTTGCTAACATTGTTTTTCCTGTACCGGGGGGGCCAAATAGCAATATGCCTCTACATGGCTTTAGAAGACCACCTTTGAAGAGGTCTGGTCTTCTAAGGGGAAGCATTACCAGCTCTTGAAGTGATTCTTTAATCTCATCCAATGCACCAATATCTGCAAATGTCACCCCTATCTCATTTGCAGGGATAACCTCTGGTCTTATGCGCTTCTCAAACTCATTGTCAGGAATTTCCTGCAAGCATGCAATTAATTTATAGTAACTCAAAAGAAAGAAAATAAGAAAATAGATAAGTATAAGTTAAGTTTGAATCACATAGTTTCTACTTAATGGCTAGGACAACCATAAATAATGATAAACTCATAGACTATCAGTAAAACATTTACAATCTATAATAGTAAAATTGCCAAAATACAAGTAAAATGTTAATGAAAGTATATAATTATTCACATTAAACCAGAAAAAGTATGTAAAAGCATCATATCCATTTGTTGTTGTTTTCTTTCCATTGCTACACGAGGAGGATCCTCACCCACCCTCACGAGTCGGGATTTAATGAGTGATTTTACTACGTGAGGAGGGTCTGACCAGCAGGTAAAAAGCATTATACTGGCTTAGGTGCTGAGAAAATTGATCTTACTGCTTTTACAGGTGCAGCATTTTCGCCATCTTTCTTTGTTACAGGGATAGATTTCTCTGTCTCATTTTTGTTTTCAGGTGCTTGGTTATCAGACCGTACCTCATTCTTTGCACCAGTAGTATCTTCTCCAGCATTTTCCTAACATTAAATGAAACACACCAATAAATAAAAACTGAATATATATAATGATAATAACTCTTCATCATTCTTTTTTTCTAGCTTTTCTGATATTCCTGTGCTGATCCCTTATGCTCTAGCTGATAAAATTGATGCAAACAAAAACGTACCTTGTTAGATTCATTAGTCTTCAGATTCTCACTACTCTTGCCTTCCTGGAACAGACTCAATCCACGGGACAAACTGTCCACATCCAAGATCAGTAGTTAGAAAACCTTTTCTCATAATCAATTGCTTAAACAGTCATTGACCAAGATATTTACCTATTTGCTGATATAACTAGCTTGCCATTTCGGTATTCTGGATCCTTTGTATTCATCAAATGGTAAGATATTGCAGATACCACAATTTCTTCAATATAATTGCTCAGTATCATAGTGTCAGCATGGCAGATTAAAGTTAAGTCATCACACTCAATGTCATTTGCTGCAAGTACTTCAGCAATGTGGTTTCTGTTATCTTGAAACTGAATAACTTTCATGTCCTCCTCCAGTTGACCTTTCCAGCTACCAGTATGAGTTTCATCTTCAGGAGTTTTGATCTCAATGTTGTAGGGGAATAACATAGTGAGCCTTTCATTGATTTCTTTGTAATCATTTTCAGAATCTAATATCTGGGAACCGAGTATCAACACCGAGCCTGACAGTTTCTTTATCATTTTTTGTAATAAATTAAATAACCTTGGTGATTGGAAAACAAGCTTCTCAACATCCCTGATGTATAAAATGATGGAACCAGTTTCTGAGATAGAAACCAAGACCTGCAAAAATTACAATAATATTGTCAGAATTGTAATTAGCAACAGAGATCCAAGACAATATAAGATTAATCCAATTTTGTTTTCAATGTAACAATTGTACTTGAAGAGCTAGCATGCTTATACTTCAATGTTGCCAACAAAGGTTGGAGTTAGATACAATTCAAATATGAGCTTATAAAATAAGTTTTCAGTACTTAAATCACCTTGTAAAGTGACTGCACGAAGAGCTTTTCATCAAAACGGAAGCTACTTGTTCGCTTTAAAGGAGCTGAAAACATAACTCATAGAAGTAAGCATAACATTGCAAGAGATTAGCAACAATAAAGCATGAAGTATTTTAGCTATATGACATTTAATGTAGTTTGCACAAGAAATTTATAAAGACGACTATTTTCCTCCTGGAGTATGTAGTATAATCAGAATATAAATTTTGATATATCAGAATAGTTCTTGTACTTGTATAAAACTTCTAAGGGCATCCTAGAGAATAGACCTAGCTGCACCCTTCATCATCACATAGGAATTAAGGAACAGATTAACAGATTGATTTACCATTTAACGCATTATCTTGAAAAGAAGCTTGTAGATTACACTACAGAATTAAAAGTAGATATTAAATCAACCTTTGAGACAAATGATCAGGCACAAACTTAGGTTGATCGATCATTTTGTCCTTGTTTTAAATTTTTTACCATTTTGCCCCCTTCTCAAACTATATACCATTCTGCTCCGCTTTTTAAACTAAATATCAATTTGTCCCTCTTTAACCAAGACTTAATCAAATATATGGATATATTGACAGTGCCGGTCAAACACTGGTCAAACAGAGGCAGATTGATATAAAGTTTAAGAAGAGGAGCATATTAGTATATAGTTTAAGAAGGGAAACAAAGTGATATATTGATTTTAAACAGGGGACAAAATAGTTAATCAGCCCACAAACTTGCTTAATAAGGTAACCTATAGTTCTTAAGTATAACCTGCAATTGTTGGACCAACATGGGAAGAAGTGCTACTTAGATCAGAAGCAACAGACGCATTCCTTCGAATCTTTGGAGGATTATTGGAACTTTCAAGAGCACTGCTATTTTGACGCAGAGTTCCTTCAAAAGTAATAGTTTAGATTAAGTGAGCCAGATATAGATAAAAGCCAATAACTAGTTAGGTTGATTATCAATCACTACAAATTCTAGAAAATGAGAGAGATGATGAGAAGTCCTGAACCATTTGCAATGTCATGATTACGATCACTGACTATGATATAAGCATTGAAATCAAAACCCATTACAAATGTTAAAGCAATACATACATTACCAAATCATTCATTATCTTGAAACCATGGACTACCAAACTCTATAGCAGGTACTTATAAAATAAGAAGTTTCATACTTCTAAAAAGCTTGATTGTTAATTCCTCTAGTACCTCTAGTTTCACCTGTTGAAGGCAGGATTGAAAAGGAACCAAACAAACCAGACATTCGCTCCAAAGTCACCTCAGATATGGACCTTTTCAAAGACTACAAAAAAAGAAGCAAATAAGTCACGAAAATCTCACAACGAACTAACAACCAAATGGTTGTATATTACTCTTTTCAAAAAGTAAATATGAAATGGAGCTAACAAGAATGACACAGAATGGAGCAGACTAAACTTACTGGTTCTTTTCTAGAACCTCCATATTTGCTCTGCAACTGTACAAGGGAAAACATAACAGGCATGAATATATGTATATGACCAGTAAAAGAAAATAAAATGAGAAGCTATCTATAAATAATTACCTTCACAGAGAAGTCAGTAATATCTAGCAACAGCAACTTTGATTCAAAGTAATGTGCTAAAGCTCTAGCAAGCATTTGCTGGTAAAGCTCTTAAAAAATGAAAAATTTCTAGTATTAGTCAAACCAACTTGAAAACTAAAAAACCTTTTTTGCTGAACAAGATTGAACTTCTGTACATAATATACCTGCAGGACCAGAGAGCAAAATAGCCCTGCTTGCTGGTGAGAGGTTCCTTGTGTGCTTCGAATAGTTAAGATGTTTTAAATGAACATATGCAGCACTTGTCAACAAAACTCGAGTTCTTTCACTGCCATCGTCACATTATATGGAAATATAAGATATGGTGTAATCAGGGAAAATAATAAAATTGTATGAATCAGAAAAATAGTTATATACCAACATACTGATCTATGAATAAGAACACAAAAACATAAGAAAGAAATTAATGGCTATGAGAAAGACTGCATGAGCATCTAGTTATATCAGGACCTTTTCAAAAACTATGGAATTACATAACATTCTTTCTTTTTTTTTAAGTACATCAATGAGTTTTTAGAAAGTGAGTCTTTGTATTGCAGAAAGGTTTCTCCTAGTGGCCCAACATCTAAGACCACAGGCTAAGGCTGTGTGCATCTGACCCTCCTAAACCCACACCGATGGGAGTCTTGTGCACTTGGCCACACTTTCACATCAAGTAGTTGTTACCACAACTTGAAATTGGAACCTCAATCATAATAGCTTTTCAGAGAACAGATGATTTATTCTAATCACCATATGAATCAGAATGGAAGCACTAAATTCAAGTAGACACGAAGCACAGAAAAGTACAAATGGCACTTGTTACATCTTCTATGAAGAGGATGAAGCTCTAATCTGGAATACAGTGCTATACTGCTATGTTTAACCATATAAACTACAACAAAAGTACAAAAAAGGGCAGCTGTACATAATAAACACTAGATCTTAAGATAGTCTTGTATATCCGAATAAGCTATCCTTTGATTACAACAACAACAACAAAAATCTGGTTTTATATATATATATATATATATATATATATAGAGAGAGAGAGAGAGAGAGAGAGAGAGAGAGATGAATATCAGAGTACTCTTTTTATCTGTTCCAGAGAAACTACTACACATACTTATCAGGGAAGATATATCACTCATCTCTGGGAGCTTCCCTGTTTCTTACCCAACATATGCTCAAAATGCAACAATTTACTTTGAAAAACCTTCCAACGGAAAATCTATGGAAGTTTTGGGGTTGACAAAGAAGCAAAGGTGAACTCAATGACAAACAATCAAAGAAAATCTCAAGGAGATGAGGAGAACCCATCATAGATGCCCCACACAGAGAGTCAAATTTACATGAACCAGAATATTCAGAGCAGATTATCATGAAATTTACTCGCACAACTGAGATAGATCCATTTCAAAAACATCTTTCACAACCAAGGTATATTATATTATACTTATATAAATTCAAATATACCCCAAAAAAATGCTGACAAAGTTTATATGTCATTCTGCAGGGTCAAAATGGCAACAAAAACATAGATATAAAAAACATCAAATTTCAGTCATATTATATTATATATTTATATATTCTAAAGAAATCTCAAATCACCTTAAGAAATAAGGAAACTCATCAAATGTAACTTTACTATCCTTCCCATCAAGGAGCAGTTTCTTGAGCTCATGCACAATCTGCTCCCCAGAAATCTCATCAGAGTCACAGTTCCCTCCAACCCATTTCTGCACAGCCTGTCCTGAACTCAATCCAAGCCCCACACCCAATCCAACCCCAACACTCAATGCTGACAACAGAACGTGCTTCTGTTCCATAACGGCCTTGAATCCAACACAAAAGTTTGGTCCTTTAAAACCCCAGAAGCGATTTTTCACCAAAGGGTATCAGGATGATCAAAAAAAGTTCATGGAAAGTATAGATAATAAATGATTCAGGGAGTTTGGAAGATTCAGAGAAATGGGTAAACCGGATATTCTGGACGACAAGAACACCAACAACAACAATCTATGTTAAAGAGGCTCCGAAGACAACGTTGGTCTAAAGGATTTTGACAGGGCAATGACTCTCTCTCTCCGTCCCTCCTCAATGCTATATATAGCATGGCACAACTAATGGACGTTAAATGCTTATTGCTTGCCATGAACAAAAATAACAAAATTTGAAAGGCAAAAAGAAAAAAGAAAAAAAAGAAAAAAAAGAAAGAAAAAGTTAATATTTTTACTTTCTAATGCATCTTTTTGACATAATAGTAGTGGTGACACCAAATCTGGGTTCTCTCTCTCTCTAACTTTTCATTTTTAAACTTTTTTTTTTTATTTTGCTATGTGGAAACCTTTATTTAAAGGTTTTTTTAATATAATATATCTTTATTTTTTATAATAATTTTTAGCATACTATTGGTGTTGCCCCTTGTATGTTTGGTGCAGTGTCATTTGGTTTTTTCTTAATAAAAAACTTGAAAGTGGATGGAGCGGTATGGTTGGTGCCTGGTTTTTTGTTTTCTCTTTTAAACAGATTGAAGTTAGGACCATCCCTCAAGTTTTCAATAGAATTACTAAAAACCTAACCTTTTCATGGTACATTCTACTTTTGCGTATTTTGCTGAGAAGGGACCGTTATTTCACTAATTGTTTGATTGGATTCATCTTGCACTATTTTGGAGAGATTAGAGTTTTTTTTTCCCCAGCCAATTTATCGAAAATGCAAGTGGTCAATTTTGGTTAGTGTCAAGTTATAAAAGAAGCGCGGCTCAAACACGAAATCTTAAGGAGAATAAATTTATTATCACTTAATTTAATAATTGTTGGTGAGATGTTGTCATGTTGATTATTGAGCATATGGTAATTAATGAGTTTAATAATATAGTTTACGGGTTTAAAAACAATATCATTCAAAAAAAAAAAAAAAAAACAATATCATTGAGAGGGTTCCATATTCAATTCTTTATTTTACCTCCGGAAATTAGCTCCTCACCCATCATGTGAGGGGATATTCTAGGAAACTAAAATTGAAAATTTAAATCCGATAAGTATATGACAATTAATGGTTTTAATCATGAGGCTTATGCGTATAGAAAAGTTTACGGTTGAGAGAGGTCCCACCTTCAGTTCCTGATTGTATATCGGGAAATTAGTATCTCACATATCGCGTAAAGCAACCCAATTAGATTTTACAATTAATGAGTAAATATCATTTTCGGTACTCAGCAAATTTTACGATGTCCATTTTAGTTCCTAGCAAATAAAAAGGTTATTCGTGGTCCCTAAGAAATTCAAAGTGAACCCATTTTAATCCTTTTGAGAGACTAATGTAGGTTTTTTTGAATTTGTGAGGGAACACAATTTCAACTAAATGGGTCTATTTTGAATTTCTTAGGGACCGCGAATAACATTTTTATTTGCTAGGGACTAAAGCGGGCATCACAAAATTTGCTGAGTACCAAAAAAGATATTTACTCTAGATTAAATAAGTGGATAATCATATTGGCCCAACATGGTATAGTGGGAGCCTAGTTGGCCCAATGATAAGGAATCAGAAAGAGATTTATGGTCCCCAGTTTGTCAAAATCAGTCAGACAACTTTCTTTCCCCCATCAAGAGATATCTTCTGCATAAAGATTTGTTCTCTAGTGATTTGACTAATAATGACCATCAAATCCCAAAATTTAAAAGGCATCATGAAACAACAATCGTTGTGATGGAATCAGGTATACTTTAATTCCTTTAGTTTCCTCGATGATGCAATATGATGTATCTAGGGATTTGCGGTGATGGTTTTCACCATGGGATATTGGGGAGAACCCCAACAATTGGTATCAAATCCAGGTTATCATATTTAGGGCCAAAAAAAGGGGCTCAGCTTGGCAGACAGACTCGCCCTACCTGCCAAACTAGGTGGGGCGAGCTGAGTTTTACAACCCACTCACAAAAGCAGGGCGGAGCAGACTGGCTTATTTTTTGGCAGGTTGATGACAAGGAGGGGCGGGGCGGGTTAGTGTAAAATAGATTTGGGCCAAGGAGTAACCCCCTCCCCCCCCCCCCTCGGCTCGCCAAACGATGCGGGCCAGGGCTAGTTTTTTAGCCCACTCTCAAAAGTAGGGAGAGGTGGGCTGGCTCATTTTTTGGCGAGTTGACGCCTGGCCCACCCACTTTGCAACCTCTAATCATATTGAATAATTGGGGTTTACACTGAACCATAGGTTTCCAAGTCTATGCATTTGAAGTTTTGATGATTACAAAGCACCTACAAGCTCAACATTGATGCACAACATTGATGCACAACATAGAAAACAATACAACAAGTCCCAAATGGCACTAGAAGACCAAGACAACTTGTAAAAGTGGTAGATTAACCTAGAAGTGCAAAGTCAACACCAAAGTCAAAGAGTCAAGTGAATAAAGGAACTAGAAGATGCAAATCATCAAGATACTTGAAGACAAATAAAGGCTTATGTATATATTGTTTGTCATGTATTCTTAGAGTCCTAGGAAGTTTGAAGTTGAGTTTATTGAGCCATATCTCTCTAGATTGCATTAGAAGCATAAACTCATACATTGTGAATCACATGCTTGATCCATGCATACAAGTCTCACACACGTGGAACATTGTCATATTGATGCTAGAATCAGGCATTCATGTGTCAGAAGTGAGAAAGAATCAATTGAAAGTAATTTGGATCGAATTCAAAAAAGTTTTGGGTTATTGACATCAAATATACAGATATGGATATTTGAATATCCGAATACTGATATCCGAATATGATTTCCAGATATTGAACCCAGAATATCTGGATATGTAATCCAAAATATCTGGATATTTATTGGGAGACGCGTGACAGCCTTTTAAATCTGAATCAAATCTTTTCTAAACCGACTTAGATTATTATATAAGCATATCTTAGGGTTCATAAACATGAGAGCGTAGGAATACATGCATTAGAGATAGAAACACCTAAGATCCTTGATAAACAAAGATTATGCCATATTTTGATATCTAGAAAGAGAAAGCTCTTTAATCTTCTTCTTCTGTTTTCTGTGTAATTCTAGACGTAAGGAGGTTGCTCTATAGGTTTTAGACGATTAGAGTTACTGTGATTAGTTTTTGTACGAGTGGAGTGATCCCGAGGGTGTCTAGGTTAAGCATGATCTAGGGAGATCGCACGTCTTGCAAAATTCCTCTTGTAACTGGTTGGAAGCTTGATAATAGTGGAACGATCGATGATAGATTGGATGTAGCTCTCAAGTGATTGGAGAGTGAACCAGGATAAATCCCTGTGTTTTCTTCTTTTTTCCATATCCTTTTATTTTTCACTGCATATAACTCTTTTTGATTCTTTGTTTATGATGTTTTGAATATGTTTAAGGGCTGGAGAATATTTGTTAATTGATTAAATTTACTCTTGCACGTGTTTTTGAAAAGGGGTTTTGTTTTTCTCTGTTTCATGCGAAAAAAGGTAAAACACAATTGACCCCCTCTCTTGTGTTGTTATTTATCCATTCTTTCTTTGCAATTTGGAATTTACATAAAGAATGAATCTTTTGGAAATCTAGGATTTATAATTTAATAAGGGTTTGTTATTTAAACTTTTGTATCTGCATAAAGAAATAATCTTTTGAAGATCTTAGGATTTATAGTTTAATAAGGATTTGCTGTTCAAGATTTTCAATCTGCGTATAGGTTAAATCTTGGGAAGAATTTGCCTTCATAATTTGATGACGGTTCGTTGTTTGAAATGGGAATTTGGAAGAACAATGAATTCTTTTGTGAAAATCTTTGGGATGCGTGGTTTGAAAGAAATCAAATCTTTAAAGTATTTGGTTTTGGTATTTTCTTATATTTGATTTTCTTTGTAGAATCCCTAATACAAATTTTTTGGGAATTGGTTATGATGATATTTTCATATTTAAAACCAAGGGAACAAATATTTTTCTATTAGATACTAAGCCCCCAGGCGCATATTTGTAGGGCACTAGGATAAGGAAATTTTAAAGGTTCAATGCAATTAATCTTATATCATTGATAAGAGGGATTGCTTGTATGACTTTATAATGAGTTTGTTATTTCTTATTGTTTGCTTTTGGAATTAAGTATGGTAGATTTGTTAGCCTAAAGGTGCTCGAATCCTACAAAGTTAATTTAATTCCAAATGGTTAGTTATATGTGTGTGTGTGTGTGTGTGTTCATGCAAATAATGATCGGCCCAAAGGAAGATTATTATTCGGTCGAGCAATAAATGTAGTATATGTGTGTCTATTTTTCATGTGAATAATGCTCGACCCAAATAAAGGTTATTATTGGCCAAACAATCGATACATTTGTGGTAATAAATATGTGACAATCATTAGGGATTTCCATGTGAATAGTCATGCCAAAGAAGGCTATGGTTTGACAGGATTGATTGTCAATGTTTGATTACTACGTGGAAGAACCACTTACAAGTTGATATTTCTTGTCCAAAGACTAGATGTTAATGTTGTGCTAGGTATCTTGTTGAAGAACTCTTTTTTCTTCGAATTTTTTGGTCAATATCATGTATGTATATTATGTTGTTTAATTATATATATGATATGACATAAATGTTGAGTTATGTTGTTCTCTATTCAGTTGCCATTACTACTGCTAATATTTTTACTCAAGTAAATATGATCCCTATGATAAATAAGGCTAACTTCAAGATATGGATAGAGAACATGGAAATTATTCTCGACTATATGGATGTGGACCTTGTTCTAAGGATGGAAAAACCTATTTCCACTAAGGAAAATCCAAATACAGAGAAAATTAAGAACTGGGAATACTCTAATTGCATGTTTAGTGATAATGAAATGCACTATTCCATAAGCGTTTCAGGACTCTGTTGCTGAGAGCACTGATGTCAAGAAGTTCTTGACATAAATTGAGCAATATTTTGCTAGAAATTAAAAGACAGAAGCGAGTAACACTATGGCAAAACCCGTTACTATGGGGTATCAAGGAATTGAAGAGAAACATGTGGGAGTACATCATAGAGATGTCTAATCTT